CCCCTTCACACTCCATGGTGAGGTGCCCCTTGTCCCCACGGTGCAGAGAGGTCAGGGGTTCCCCCGTGGTCCCAGGGTGTGGAGTGGCAGAGCCTGAGCTGACCTCAGCCCGGCCCCACCCCCGCCTCCCACAGGGAGGTCTCGCCGGACACTGAGTCTGTCACCTGCTGCTTGTGGGCACTGAATTCTCCCCAGTTCTCTCTGGGTGGGAAATTGCAAGCATCCTCGTTTTTCTTTCTCACATGGAACCCAAGTTCTCTGTCCCTTTACTCGCTAACAAGGACAAAGGCAAACTTGCTGAAATTGTGCTTCTGACTGCGCCATCTCCCAGGAAACGTCTGGGTAGAAGAGGCATTTTAGGGTGCCGTGAAAACTTGGGAAGGAAGGGGTTGTGATGGGCAGGAGTCGGGGTGCCCTGGGTCGGGAGGAAGGACGTGGGTACCGGGTCCTCCGGGTGGGAGAGTGGGGGGTCCTCAGGCAAGGGGATGAGAGTTCGCTTTGCCACCTCTAACTGCCCCCCCAGGAGCAAGGCAGGGGGCAAGGTCTGTCCCAGGCCCTGGCAACCTCTGGGACAAAAACAGGTCCTTGTCATGAGATGGGAAAGTGGATTAGGTAAACTGAGTCAACTTGGTCCTTTGGCCTCTGGCCAAACATATGTCTCCACTGACACTGGCGGCTTCTGCAGAAGGGACCTGGGGGGCCAGGCTTCCCCCTCTGCCTCAGGCAGCTCGGGCTGCCAAAACAAAATACTGCAGGTGGGAAGGCTTAAGCAACAGACGTCTACTCTCTCACAGTTCTGCAGGTTGGCGGTCTGAGATCAGGGTACACGTGGCGGGTTCTGGTGAGGGCCCCCTGGCTGTCCTATGTCCTCATGTGGCAGGGGGAGGGAGCACAAGCTCTCAGCTGTTTCCTCTTCCAAGGCCGCTGCCCCCATCACGGGGCTCTGCCTCATCTAAACCTAGGGGCCTCCTGGAGGCCCCGCCTACAAATAGCATCACAGTGGGGTTAGGACTCCAGCCTGTGAATTTAAGGAGACAAAATTCCGTCCGCAGCACCCTCCCTGGTGGTGAGTGAGGCAGTGAGGTGAGCCACCCCGGCCAGGGCCCATGGAGGTGCGGCCCCCGGCCAGGCCTGGTCCTGGCCTGATCCCCGGGGGCCTGGGGTGTGGGTGGTCAGCAGATGGGAGGAGCTGCCCAGAGTGGGGTGAGCGCAGCCACTGAGCCTGGGAGGGCCGGCCTGGCTGGAGCTTCACCCTCCCCGCCCATGACGTCTAACCTCTGACCTCATAGGGTTGTGGGCGCCATCCCCCTCTGAGGCCTGTCAGGGCCCTGCTTGCTGAGTGCCCAGTGGGCTCCAGGCATGCCCTGTACGCCCCTCATCCAACCCGCAGCAACCCTGTAAGGCTGGTGCTGTCTCTGCTTCACTATTAAGGAAACTGAGGCAGAGTCAAGCTCCCACAACTGCTAACTAGTAAGGGGACAGAGTGAGACTTGGAACCAGACACCCTCCCTCCAGTGCCTGCTCTGCCACCACTCCAGGGTCCTGGAACCTGCCAAGGAGTGGGGGAGTGGGACCTGGCTCCTGGGTGCAAGGGCCAGAGAGTGACCTCTGCCGCCACCTGTGTGCGGCAGGTGGACAGCCACACCCGCTGGAGGGTGGCCTTGTTCCTGTGGGTGGGTGGGGTAGGGGCAAATGAAGGTGACCTCGTGGCACAGAGAGGTGAGTGGGCCTTGTGTCTGAGGCGCTCCTTGGCTGCTCTGCAGATGAGGCAGCCCGTCCCTGCTGTGTTTGCCCCTGGGGAGAGCGGTCTCCCCTCACTGCCCCTGTGCCTGCCACCTCCTCCTCCTCTGACCTTGGCCACCAGCCCCTTCCCCACCCCAGAGGGAACGTCCCGCTCACACACTCCAGACTGGCCGAGATCCATCAGGTTCTAACTTGGCCCCTTAGGACTGCTGAACAGAAAGTGACCTGGCTCTGAAGCTTGCTGCTCAGAGTGTGGACCGGGGATGGGCAGCATGGGGGCTCCCCGGAGCGTGATGGTAACGCAGCTGGCCAGGCACGGCCTGCCGAGCCTGCCGGGCCACATCCCAGGCGACTGTGCAGACAGCATTTGAGAAGCGCCATTCCTAAGGGTGTAAGGGGCCTCGTCTGGGCAGGCAGACCCCATCCAATGACCCCAGAGACTGGGAGGCACCCCTGGCCCCTCCAGGGGCTCCTGGGTGGGAATTGTGTCATGGACTCCCAGCACAGCCGAGAGCCCTATAGCCTGGACGCTGCTCAGAGACCACTTTTCAAGGCCGTATAGATAGCAGATCCCGATTGCCAAGGTGATCCCCTTAAAATTCCAGAACGTGTGAGTTGCCCACCTGGAGGGCAGAGCTGCAAATGGCCAGCAGCAGCGGGACACCTGGCACACCACGCTATCTGCGTGTGGCTGGTCCTGCCCACCGTGGGAAGTGGCCTGGCACTGGTCTGCAGGAGCAAGGCCGTGGCCCTCCCCACAGTGGGGGCCGGCAGCGTCATGGGAGGGGCCTCCAAGAGAGGCTGGAGCCCACTCATGGTGGAGTCTAAGGTGCACCGCCATGCTGGGACAATGGCGAATGCCTTCGTGAGATTGTCCGATGGCGTGTAGCTGCCAGGGGCGTGGACTCCTGGGTCTGGATTTGAATGCTGCCTTGACTCCTTCCACCAGGCAAGACCTGGTCAAGACTCAGCCTCGCCGTGCCGGGCCTTTCTCTGAGAGGTGGGGACGGCGGGCGGACTGAATGAGGTGAGGCCGCACCACCGTCTGCACACCGTGCCTGGGACGGCTAAGCTGGCGGTGACTTCACAGTCCTTGCTGTCTTCAGAGAGTCTGAGGCGGGCACAGCTCCTGCTCATGTTGCAGTGGGTCCCGTCGTAAGGGGCCAGGAGGACCCGAGCCTGGGCACAGCCGCCAATTAGCAGGAGGTCTGTGTCCCTTCCTGGCGATTTTCTCTGATGTCCCTCCGCATCTGCATAGTTGTCAAAGGCAGAAGCGGGGACGGATGAGGCTGCGGAATGGCCATGGCGTGGAAGCTGCTGGGCAGATGTGAAGGGTTGGTGGCCGTGCCGGCCAGTTCCTGGATGCCGTGTCCCTCCAAGGGGCTTGTTCTGCACAGCAGCCCCACCCCACCCACCCCTCCTACCTCACCTACCCCTCGAGGGGCGTTGCTGGGGCTGCCTGCTCACAGTTCACGGCCAGGCTCACATTTCGCAGCCCACGGGGAGGTTGGGCCCTGGGGCATCTCCTACAGGGTGGGGAGACATGGCGACAGCAGGGCAGGAGGATCTCCTAGTGGCCATGCAGGGGGGGGTCTCACCGCTGCTCCCCGCCCGTGTGCCTAGCACCTCCCCAGCAGGCGCCCCTGGCTGTTACCTACCCCGACTCTCAGTCGCATGCTTCTGCCGTTTAAACAAAACTAATGAAATGGAAAATCTGTAGCTCTTTCATTAAATGTTTTTTTTCCTAATATACATTTAAATAAAAATATGAATTCTCAAATTAAAACAAAAAGTGTTCATTCAGATACCGGTTGAAATGGCTTGTTTACCGGCAACGTTTCGAACACAGGTCACATCAGGGGGAGAGCCTGACTTTCAGGATGAGCTCTGGCGCCCCGGCGCGCAGGTGTGTGAGGCGGCAGGTGACTTACGGGAGAACGGCGCCCGCCCGCCTGCAGACCGGGAGGTTTCCCTGAGCGCGATCGGTCGAGCAGGCTCAGAGGGCGCGGGTGTGTGCTCCCGAGTCCTGTCCTTAGCCTGCCCGCAAGTGTTAATGTTTCTCTTCCTGGTTTTGTACACCACTTGGTTCTATGGATAAAACCAACACCGGAGAAGCAAACTGGGTTTTCCAAGGTCCCAAGACAAGCTAGTGGCCCGGACAGAAGTGGCTGGAGCGACAGGCGACCCTTCCGCTCTGACGACCACCCCAGCCCGCAGCGGGCTGCAATCCAGCGGCCGGGCCTCCCAGCTGGCTCGCCAGCCCCTTTTTCCTGGAACCTGCGTAGAAACTTCCATCCTGCTGCGGGTCTGCGTGCCCAGCCTCTTGTGGCTATTATGGGCTGTGCAGAGGAATCTGGAAGGCTAGAAAAGGGCAGGTTCCGTGTGTCCAGGTACGAGATTCAGGTGTATTAAAGCCTCAGGTGTGTGGTCACTCTGGCTAATTATCACTACGGTCTCAAAGCTTGTGAGTGACTTATTTTTTGTAAAAATGTAGGAATTAGGGCAGGTCCAAGTTTACCACTCTCAGTTGCTTCCTGGCTTGCTTTCCTGAGCAGGATAGAGAGGGATGGAGCTACCCTGCCCACGAGGGAAGCCAGGTCCTCTGTCACGAGGGCTGATCTAATCGTGATACCCGGCAACATTCACGGAGCTCTGGCTGTGTGCTGGCGCCGGGCTGAGTCCTTCCCATGTGATCAGTCATTTAACACTCCCAGTGACCTCACACGGTGGCTCACATTATCATCCCATCTTCCAGGCGAGTATGAGGCACAGAGAAGTTAAGTAGTTTGCCCAAGCTCACACAGTGGCAGAGCTGGGGACATATATTTAATAGTGGGGCTTAATTCCCTGCCAAATTTCTGTTGCTTTTGCCAGAGTTCTTGGGGATGGCCGTAAAAGTGTAAACAAGTGTCAACAGCACAAGGGTGGTCTGTCAGCTCCTGCAGTCTAGTCCTGTTGCCCAGAACCAGTGGCCAGTCCTCTTCTCAGCAGGCGGGAGCCCTCTTGACCCTTTCAGCGTGCCGGTCTGCTTGCCTGGCCCCATGGGGCCACAGTGGGCCATGCGGAAGACTCCAGAAAGCCAGATGGGGCAGGTTCCACCTGCAGGAACTTGTTCCCCTTTTCCGCCATCTCTGCAGACAGGCGGTGTGGGGGGGCCGCTGTCCCAGACCAGGTGTCCCTGCGTGACACCCACCTGTTCCCTTGCCCGCAGAGGCCGGGGTCACTGGGCCCTGACACGTCCGTTCCTTTCCCCACAGGCAGCTCCCCGTGCAAGATCCTCAAGTGCAACTCTGAGTTCTGGAGCGCCACGTCCGGCAGCCACGCCCTGGCCTCAGACGACGCCCCCGAGTTCTGCGCCGCCCTGCGCACCTACGCCCTGTGCACGCGGCGGACGGCCCGCACCTGCCGGGGCGACCTGGCCTACCACTCGGCCGTCCATGGCATAGAGGACCTCATGAGCCAGCACAACTGCTCCAAGGACGGCCCCACCTCGCAGCCGCGCCTGCGCGTGCTCCCGCCGGCCGGGGACAGCCAGGAGCGCTCGGACAGCCCCGAGATCTGCCACTATGAGAAGAGCTTCCACAAGCACTCGGCCGCCCCCAACTACACGCACTGTGGCCTCTTCGGGGACCCGCACCTCAGGACTTTCACAGACCGCTTCCAGACCTGCAAGGTGCAGGGTGCCTGGCCGCTCATCGACAATAATTACCTGAACGTGCAGGTCACCAACACACCTGTGCTGCCCGGCTCAGCCGCCACCGCCACCAGCAAGGTAAGCGGGAGGGGAGGCTGCAGGGCACAGCTCTGCGTTTTGCCTCTTTGCCCCACCTGGGCACTGAGGCAGAGGGCCTGGTGTCTGGGAATGGGGCAGATGGAGCAGAGTGAGGACACAGAGGCATCTTCGCTGAGCACCCCCAGGCCACACCTGGGAGGCCTCTCTCCTTCCTCGGGCCAGCCCCTCCCGCAGCTCCCAGGCAGAGAATAGAGGTGCAGAGGGTAGCTGGCCAGGGGTGCTGGGGGCACAGGAGGCTGAGGGCCATTGGGGGCCTGGCATGGCAGGAGTCCCTGGGTGGGAGAGGTGAGGGTGCACAGCTTGGTGCCTGGAGGGAGCAGGGAGACCAAGGGCTTTTATCTCCAAGGTAGGGAGGGCTTTGGCTTTTGTGACACCCCCCCCAAAGCCCCCAGAGCCCTCGGTGTCTGCCAGATTCTTCCACACGCCGGAACCTGTTCCCCATTGTCCTCCCCAAGCCTGCTGGGTTCTGCTTGCCTGCCCTAGACGGCCCCTCCCCAAACGCTCCAGCGTCTCCCCCTCCCCCGACACAGGTACCTCACCAGGGGCCTGTGCTGGTCACTGATGGTATCCGGCTTGGCCCGTGCCATGTCCTTGTGGACAACCACGATCTAGCAAATGCCAGCCCATGGGACAGCCTCCCATGCCCCAGCTCTCTTCCAAGCTGTACTGGCCAGCCCACTTTACAGATAAAGAAACTGAGGCTCGGGGAGGACAGGAACTCGAGTCCTGTGCCATGCTGGTCCTTTCCCACATGTCAGCTTTCCCCTTAGCACTTAGCAATGTGTCGCAGTGCATAGTTCATCTGCTTGGTTGGGGACCCTGTTGGAATGTGGCAACCCCTGCCCCCAACACAGGGGTCTTTGCCCTCATGGGCCCCCAGCCCTGAGCACCAGGCCAGGTACCTCGTGGTTGCTCCCTCAGTCGTTGCTGGTGAGGCCCGGGCTCTGCCCCATGCCCGGCGTGGAAAGGAGGACCCCAGCCCCTTTGGAAGTGTGGGGGCAGCAGAGGCAAGAGCGGCGGCCGCGCCCGTGGCTGTGTTGGCAGCGGGCCGCCCGCTTTCGACAGCCCCCTTCATGCTGTTACTTGTGGTTGAGTCCCTGGCACCGGTGCCAAGAAGAGCCGAGCAGCCTGCCAGCCTTCCAGGAGGCTGTCTTCACAGGAGACGGCAGCTAGAGCGAAACCAGCCTTTCTTGTTCCAGGGGGACGGTGGCACTTGGAAAGCGGGACCCCGCCCCCACCCCCAGTGTCTGTGTGGCCCTGCACGCCAGGCAGGCAGGGACACCAGAGTCCCTCATTCTGTGCCCCCCACCAATGGCAGGACCACCCACGGCACAGACCACCCTCGCTGGCCCACCTCAGCCCCTGCGGGCAGCCTCCGTGCCACCCTGGGCGCCGCCAGGCGAGCGTCACGTGGAGGGAAGGGAGAAGCAGGAGGCAGGACCATGTGAAGTTGCTGTTTTCACAGGCCAGGGACGGTAAAGTAGCGGTAATTTCATACGGTTCAAGGCCTGGGGCTCCATGCAGGGTAGAGCGGTCTTGCAGCCACCTTTGACATCCGCGTGGTCCATTTTCAGGGCAGACCAGAAGTAGCAGACGGGAAGTGCGCCACCTCCTGGGAACAGGCCTTGGCCTCCAGGGAAGGAGACAGGGAAACTGAGGCCGGGGCTCAGGAGCTGTGCACGTGGGGTCCTCCGGTACTGTGCCCTGTGGCCTGGGCAGGGCCTCTGCAGGGGCTCGGAGCCCCAGCCCCTGAGACAGGCAGCGTGTGCCCCCGGCCGGACCACTGGAGCGTCACGCACAACAGTCAGCACTGAGGCCGAGGCCAAGAGCCCACGGGGAGACTTCCGTCTCTTCTAAAGTCCTGCGGCAGCCTGCCCTGGCTGAGTTCTCCCGGCATTGCCTTTCTGAGTAACGGAGGGAAGAGGGGTTTTCCTTCCTCAGAAGCCCTGGCCCAGGGTCTTCCCTCTGTTCTCCTGGGGACCCCGGGCCACTCTGGCTGCCAGCACCGCCCGCCTGGTCACCCCTAAGCTTTACGCTGGTGTGAGGGACCCTCAGAGCAGCAAGTGATGACAGATCATGGGACACCTCCAGTCGGCTCCCACCACCCCATTGGTTTGCTCAGCCTAGAACGTTCTGTGGCCCCTGACCCCCCCTCTCCAATCTTCAGGCCTTTCCTCTTAGCACCTGCTCCAGAGGCTCTTCTCTCTGTCACCGTTGGCCTCCCAGGCCCGGAGGACAGGGCTCTTGCCAGCTGTGCCCCCAGCCACCCTGGCATTGCAGCCAGACACACGTCTGGGCCTGTGACCTGCCCCGACCCCACCCGAGGCCTTTCAGTGATTCTCCTGCCTGAGCTCAGGTCCTTCCACAGCCCTCCTGCCTGCCTTCCCCCTGCAGGGCGACTTTGTTTTCCTCTTTGTTTTTTAGCCCTCATCATATACCTGCTGTTAGGCCAGGATGTCCCTTAATGCTTTGTGGTGCCACTGTCTACCCAAGTGCCCACCCGCTGTCCTCGTGCCCCTCCAACTGCCCTATCTCCCTGGTGTGCCCAGGCAGAGAATGGCCATGCGTGTCCCAGCAGGCCTCTGGCCTGGCCGACTGAGGGGTGGGATGAGAGGACAGGGCCTGGGAATGGAGGCCTGGCCTGCGAAGAGCAGTGGGGGGGGTGATTTTGCAGGGGTTCCTAAAAGGTCTGGCTGCCACCTTGCTCCCATCACCCCACCTCCCTTCCTGGCTTCAAGCTGGGAGTCCAGGTTCTAGCTCCTGTTGGTCCAGGGGCAATGGCCTTAGAGGCACCCAGACCTCCCCATGGCAAAGTGGCCAATACCTGCAGAGGCGTGGAGGAGGGGGTGGTTGTTTCCCTCCCAGTTTTGCTCATGTTTCCAGCCCATATATCCTACTCAGGGTTATGGAGGGAAGACACCTCGCCCAGGATGACAGAGGAAACACACTCTTGCTCCCCTGGCTGCTTTGTCTTGAGCCCTTCTTCTCCCGGGTCTCCCACCCTGGGCTTATGGCCAAATGAACCCAGGGTCTGGAAACCCAGAGTCCAGTCCCAGCCTGCTGCTGGCCGTGTGGCCTTGGGCAAGTCACTGCCTCTCTCTGAGCCTGCATTTCCATGAGAGGGATGTGAGGGATGTGCACTGTAAAATGAGAGGGATGTGAGGATGTGCACTGTAAAATCGGGAGTAATGTCACCCACCCTTGCCCTGCCTCACAAGACTGGAGGTAATAAATGCAGAGAATGGCCCACTAGATGCAGCTGGTGCAGCAGTGTCTGGTTCTCAGGAGGAGAATCAGTAGCCATCTGCTTCTCCAGCAGCTCAGCCCAGCCCAGCCCCTCACCCCGGATGCAGGATGCGGCAGAAACGGGCCCCCCTGCTCCGGCCCCGGCCAGGGCTGTGCGTTCAGCCTGGAGCCTCCATCTGCCTCGTGCCAACCAACACCTGCCTCCAACACCTGTCCCACCTCTTCCTGCTCCCGTCCTCCGAGGCCCTGCTTGGTGGCCCCTTCCTGCAGCCTTGGGACAGCGCCTCTGCCTGCTTGCATCGGTTTTGCCAACTCTTTCTTGGAGTATCAGTCTCCTCCACCCCACCGGCCCTTACATTCAGCCACTTGCGCGTGGTCCATTTTCAGGAGTTGTGCGGCAAGGTGTGTGTCAGTGTGCTGCAGGGTGATGTGAATCTGTGGGCTGTATTAGTTTCCTGTTGCTGCTGTTAGAAATTCCATAAACCAAGTGGTTTAATCCAACAGAAATTTTTTGTCTTATCCTGGAGGCCGGAAGTCAAAAAGGAGTCTCACTGGTGTAAAGTCAAGGTGTCACCAGGGCTCGTCCTTCTGGATGCTCCAGGGGAAAAGCCATTCATTGCCTGCTCCAGCTCCTGCTGGTTGCCGGCATCCCTTGGCTTGTGGCCACACCATTGCAGTCTCTGTCTTTGTGGTCCCGTCGCCTTCTCCTCCGTCCTTGTAGTCAGATCTCCCTCTGCCTCCATCTTACGAGGGCATTTGAGTCCACTTAGGGCCCACCCAGATAACCCAGGATAATTTAACCTGATTGCATCTGCAAAGTCCCTTTGCCATATAAGGGAACATTCACAGGTTACAGGGATGAGGGCCTGATGTCTTTGAGGGCCATTATTCAGCCTACCACGGTGGATGGACTAATGACCTTTCATTTTTAATTATCTTTGCTAATTAATTATGTATTTATTTATTTTTAGTTCACCTGTCTATATAGTAAATGAGCTGGTTTTCTACTTAGGGTATTGACCTAAAGTTTTTGTAAGTATTAATAATTTTTTTTAAGTAAAATACATTTTGTTTTAAAGAGAAATATTAAGTGCATAGCAGTGTGGGTGGAACCGAGCTATCCGGCCTGGGGAAGGGAGGGTCTGGGCAGCCTGGGTGCCCCTCCGTGGGCCTGTGAGTCCAGAGCATCTGAAGCACAAGGCTGGGTCTCCCCGCCTGCGCCTAACCCACTCTCCTGCCCCCTTCCCCGGCAGCTCACCATCATCTTCAAGAACTTCCAGGAGTGCGTGGACCAGAAGGTGTACCAGGCCGAGATGGACGAGCTCCCAGCCGCCTTCGCCGACGGCTCTAAGAACGGCGGGGACAAGCACGGGGCCAACAGCCTGAAGATCACCGAGAAGGTGTCGGGCCAGCACGTGGAGATCCAGGCCAAGTACATCGGCACCACCATCGTGGTGCGCCAGGTGGGCCGCTACCTGACCTTCGCGGTCCGCATGCCCGAGGAGGTGGTCAACGCCGTGGAGGACCGGGACAGCCAGGGCCTCTACCTCTGCCTGCGGGGCTGCCCCCTCAACCAGCAGATCAACTTCCAGGCCTTCCGAGCCAACGCCGAGGGCCCTGGCACCCGCAGGCTGGCAGCCGCCAGCCCCTCGCCCGCGGCCCCCGAGACCTTCCCGTACGAGACGGCCGTGGCCAAGTGCAAGGAGAAGCTGCCCGTGGAGGACCTGTACTACCAGGCCTGCGTCTTCGACCTGCTCACCACGGGCGACGTGAACTTCACGCTGGCAGCCTACTACGCCTTGGAGGACGTCAAGATGCTGCACTCCAACAAGGACAAACTGCATCTGTACGAGAGGACTCGGGAGCTGCCGGGCGGGGTGGCCGCTGCGGGGCTGCCCCCGGGCCCCCGGCCCCTCCTGGGCACCCTGGTGCCGCTGCTCGCCCTGCTCCCTGTGTTCTGGTAGGCGGGGGCGCCAGCTCTGTCCCCAGCTCCGGGCGCCTGCCGTCGGCTTCTCTCTGGGCCCAGCAGCCTCTGCAGCGCCCAGGAGCGGAGGCAGGAGCGGCCTCAGGGACTGCCCCCACCTTGGGGTGTCTGCTGGCAAGGGCTGGGGGCACGGGCCCTCCCCCTCCCTAGTGCACGTGACAAAGTTGTGGTGACTGGTGCTGTGATGTCTGTGACAGTAGAGCTGTGTGAGAGGGAGAGCAGCTCCCCTCGCCCCACCCCCGCAGTGTGAATGTGCAAACCCCCCACGCCCCGCCCTGCACCTCCCCAGAGAGACACTGGGACCCGTCTGAGTCAGCCCCTCCCACGCCCTTGCGATGCACTGAGACAAGCCCGGCTGACTGCTGCTCACCTGTGCCCGCCACACGCACACACTCCCACACGCATCCGCGCACACACTAAGCCAGCGGACGCCCCAGACAGGGCCTCCTTACCTAAGGGGGGACACACCCAGGGCATGGCTCGGCATCTTCGGGCAAATTGATGCGACCTTCTGGCCAATAGATGGCGCCCTCCTGGCACCTTCTCCCCGGTGGCCCCCCTTGGGCTCGAGTTCGGCACCTGGTGGGATGCCCTTCTCGGGCTCTGCGCCCCGCTCCTTCCCCACTGCACCTAGAAAGTCCGAGTGCTTGTTCTAAAGGTCTAACAGAGAAGAGATCCCTGGACTTCTGCTCCTCCCCTCCAGCAGATACAAGAGCCCTGGGCGGGGGACCCTGGCCCCAGGGTGTGGGCAGGAGACCGGGGATAGGGCCAGCTGGCCTGCCCTCATCCTCCGCCTCCTCCTCACCTCCCTGCAGGGTGAGAATCCACCTGTGCCTGGATCCTGGGGCGCCGAGCAGGGTCGCAGAACCCTCTCAGCCCCAGCACCCCTGGCAGGGTCTCCTCCTCTCGTCCCTTCCCTAAGCACAGTGGCCACAGGAGAGCCCAGGACAGTCCTGCCTCTACTGCTGTCCCAGAGACGCCAGGGGCCAGCGCGGGGCTGGGCTGCGCTCCCCAAAGGCACAGCCAGGCCCCCTCTGGCGTCCCGCCGGCAGCCCCACACCCCTACCCGTCAGCATCCCCGCAGCCCCTCTGCTGCTCCCCAGGGACCTCTCATACACTGGCCAGGAGGCTGCGGACGCGTGTCTCCCCCTCCCCCTCGAGGTCCCTCCCCCTGTGCGGGCACCGTGGGGGCCTGGGAAGGGGCTCGGCTGGCCCCCCGTCCCTGCTGGTGTTTAGATGGCCCCTCTGTCGGAAGTAAAAAGTGAAGCACTTTATTTTGGTTGTGTTTGATCACGTTCTGCTTGGAAGTGGGGACCCCTCACTGCGTCCATGTGTCAGCGACCGGTGTGGAGTGTCGCCGCGTGTACATACTGTAAATTATTTATTAATGGCTAAATGCAAGTAAAGTTCGGGTTTTTTTGTTTTGTTATTTTGTTTTAGACGTCACGTTGGAGTTCGTTTTGCGAAGAGACTTTGGTTCCCTTGGGGGTTGGAGGGTTGACTTTGGGGTGGGTGTCCCCACTCGTGCGTGTGCGCATGCATGTGTGTACAAGTGTCGTGGTTGCGTGTGGAAGATGCGGCAGTTTCACAGCCGCAGCCCCCTGCTCCTGTAAAATTACTTTTCCTCATCTCAATGAGCTGTCTTTGGAGCTTGGCAGGTCCAGATTCTCCTTTTTTTTTTTATATATTATGGGGGTACAGATATTGTTAGGGTTACATATATTGCCCCTGCCATTCCTCCCCCCGTCCCCCCCCCCCCGCCTTACCAAAACATCAAGCGAGTCCTACCCTCAGGTGGTGCGCATCGCACCTATTTTGTAAGTGTAAATTCCTCTCCTCCTCCCCCCTCCCATTTGCCCACCACCCGATAAAAGTTTTTTTTTTCCCCCTTTTTATTTGGCCTTTGGGTTACGTTGTATATCTTTGCCTTTCCCTTGGAAGGGTTAGAGGTATTCCCTCCCCCCCCCCACAATGCTCACGACAACCCTAATATGTGTATCTCCCCCTCCCCCAAATCCTAGTGGGCACTCTCCCCATTTGAGTGTCATAGTTTTAGTCAGTCAGTAGGTCCAGGTTCTCTTGTTCTGGTGACACTGGAACACGGTCATGGAGACAGGTGACCACATGGTGGGGGGTACGTGACCCCAGCATCGAGGTGGGGTGGGCTGGCCGGAGATCTAGGACGACCCCACCTCAGCCGCCGCCGCCAGTCTGCGGGCCGAGTGAAGGCGCTGCAGAGGGGCCGCTGGCTGTGGTCACACTGCATCCCCAGAAACTATCCGTGAGCCAGAAATGAATTCAGGCCCATTTTACAGATGAGACAGAGGCACAGTGAGAGGAGTTCACTTGCCTAGAGTTCCTTAGCAAGGGTCAGGCCAAGATGTACACCTAAATCTGTTTTGCCCTGAAGTCCCTGCACTTAGCACTATATGTCATGAGGCAGAATAGCAGCACATTAAGCCAGCTGTATCCCGGCTTCACCACCTAAGCTGTGTGGCCTTGGGCAAGTCACTTAACCTCTCTGAGCCTCCATTCTGTTCTCTGGAATTTGGGGAGTGCCTACCCCATAGCGTTGTTTGGAGATGCCGGAGTTCACTCCTGTGAGTCACTCAGGAAAGGGCCTGGCACAGTGCTTGTCGGGGCAGGGGGGTGTCAGCCCATAGCAAGAGCAGTCGGGTGGGTGGGGAGAGAAGAGGGCCACGCAGACCCAGCATGAGAGGGAGGTAGCCAGGGGAGGCTTCCAAAGTGTGATCATTTATGCTAATCTCAAGCAAACAGGGAGGCAGGAGACACGAAGGGAGAACTTGCTAAAGCCCCGCTCTTACAGAGGAACCGCGAGTCCGGTTTGGAAGGACTGGGCTGGAAAGGACAAAACTGTCTTACCTAGTGGCCAGGGCTGTCGCTACAGACAGGCCCTCAGCCTCAGCGGGAAGTGGGATGAAAGAACAAACTCCAGAGAAGGCTGCACCGAGGTAGCAGCGCTGTTGGCACTTGGCTGGTGGAGAGAACAAGCCAGGGCACAGAGGAAAAAAAAAAAAAAGTCCTTTGCTGTCAGATGAAAATGCTAAATGGCACTTGCCAGAAAATATTCTTGGTTTGGGATTTTTTTCAGGACCCTAAATTTAACTGGCTGGAATTCTGAGTATCATGCTACTGGTTGCTTTCATGAACACGGAAATTTGCATTTCATCTTGAATATGCAACACAGCATCTTGAGCTAAAAGACTCCCAGGAGGCGGCTTGGTGTCGCGGGGCAGGCCAGGCGGCCTGCAGGTAGTGCGGCGGCACAGGTAGGTGGCGGGCTCTCCCGCCCTCTCCGCTCTGTCCCAACCTGGCACGTGGCAAGATCTATGGAGTTGCTGTTGGCAAACGAGAATGCCTAAGGATGGAAGACAGGAGAGGACAGGCTGTTGAAACGTATGAGTGAGAGTCACTCCTAATAAAGGAGCAGACTGTGGGATGAAGATAATGACCAGAACGCTCGGGCAGAGAGCCACCAGAGCCAGGCGGGAGTCGAGTTCCTCAGAGTCCCGCCAGCCAGCAGCGGGGAGCGGGGGGTGGCACCTGGGCTCAGGCTTCAGGCAGACTTGGCGTCAGAGCTGGCTCTGCCCATCGCTAGCTGTGTGGTCTCCCTTGGATGTTTGGAGCCTTGGATTCCTTATTTGTGAAACAGAATTATGTGTGCCCACCTCCCAAGGTCGTTATGGAAGGCCAATGAGCTCAGGCTCATAAACTGCCTGCACATGGCCCTGGCACGGCGTGGAGAGGCTGCCGTTCTCTGCAATTGTGTGTTTGCATTTATCTGCTCGATGACTCCATTTGTGCATGCTCAGCCTTGTGCTGGGGGAATCCAGCAGTGACCCAGACAGACTACCTCGCATTCTGTCTGGGGAGACAAGTCAGTAAACAATGGTCACAAAACCCTATATCCCAGGGTGACAAGCACCAAGAAGTAAAAGGAAGTGGCTCAACGGTTCTGGGAGAGACATACCTTGGATTGGGGGGGGAGGGACATTCACCTTTGCTGGGGTGAGGGGACCCTCTGACTAGCTCACCTGTGTGAATTTGGGGAGCGAGTCGTGCAAAGAGCTGGGGAGAGCCTTCTCTGCAGAGAGAAAGAAGCACCATGGCCAGGGCAGCAGCAGCCTGGACGGGGAGTTTTAGGGACAGCAAGAAACCAATTGTTCCTGGACAGCAGCGAGTGGACAGGTAGGGGCCCAAGCTGAGGCCACAGCGAGGGCAGCTCACGGCAGGCCTCTTCAGTGGGGGAGGACGTGACGTTTCAGTCCAGTTGCCTGAGGAAGCCATTAGTGAGCTCTGAAGGGGGAAGGATGTGTCTGACTTGGGTCTTAAAGGAACCAACCGTTCCAGCTGCTCTCGGGGACATCAGGGGAGAGGGAGGAAGTCAGGGGCTCCTGCACAAGGCCGTCCCGAGGCAGTGGCAGTGCGGAGCGACATGAAATCGTGGGCTTTGGGGTTCACTGGGAAGGCAGAGCTGGCAGGGTTTGGAGAGAGCCTGAGAGGAGACCAGTGTCCTCCCCAGCGCGGGCCTGGGCACCCGGCAGACAGCGGTGCCATTTATAACACTGGCAAGAACACGGGAAGAGCAGGTTTGGGACCCTGGCGTCAGAATGTGACTTTTAGACACATCAGAAAAACCTCATGCAGCTTGTTTTAAATTTTTTAATTTAAGTAAGTGACATAAACTTCCCAGAACAAATTTTTAAGGACAGTGCTCGTGGAACAGACTTCCGAAATAAAGGGAAGGGTGTTATTTGCAGTTGAAGGAGCCGCTTGCACAGCCGAGGCTGGGAGGGAGGCCGGCCTCTCCTGCGGCCCGCCAGGAGTCTGAGACCCCTGAGGGCCACGTTCCACAGAGACTCAGGAGCCGGAGGCTTGGGTGTCCTTGGAGAAGGACAGCTGGGTCCGCTGAGGCCGGGCTCCCCGGCAGGTGCCAATTGTGCGCGCGCCCAGTGCGGATCCTGCTGCGGAAAACAGTGGTAACACTTGAACAAGAAAATGAACAGAGCAGCAGGGACATCGGGGAGGTGAGAGTGGCAGTTCTGCTGCAGCAGAGCGTGGGAGCTGACGCAGGAGGTGACACTATTCATAAGAGAGCAAATAGGAAGAAAGCGCCAAGCAAACCGTAGACTCCCGTCCCAATGCCACCTCCTCCCCTTCTCATCCCGCCAGTCACCGCCACAAGCTCCGAATTCATTTATCGAGCCAACTCCACGGGGCAGGTCCGGCATGCCAGGCCTTCCCTGCCCCAGCTCACCCCCAGGCTGGCCCCTGAGAGCTGGAGAGAGGACGTCGTGAAGGAAAGGGCCACCCTCTCTCTCGCATGCCATGTCCCCCAGCAGACAAGACACTCAGGAGCAGGGTGTCCACTTTTCCCTATGCTGATCTCGTAGGCATGGCCCAGAAGTCACATCTTCTCGATGTGATCGGCCTCGCTTGTCTAACTCTTGAAACAGCAGAAAGAAGCCCGGTGCTCCGGCCCGGGCCAGTGGGAAGCGTCCCCTTGCCTCACGGGAAACCATTACCTGTTGAATCTGCAGAGCCAAGACCCCGAACACCTGTTTTCAACAGCTTTCCTTAGCTGCCTTTCCCATCCTGAGGGGCTTTTCAACACTTTACCATCTCATCCTTCCCTGCCTAAAGTGTGCCAGAACCCCCAAGGCAGAGGAACAGAAACCACACGCTTAGAAAGTCCTAGCAGGATGCACTCAATTAAGAGACAGCCTGTGTGCAAGACATGGTTGTGGTGGCAGGGGTGTTTCTGGAATGAGGGATGCCATCCCAGGCTGCCCCGATCCCTGGGGCCAAGGCGGGCATGTCACCCGGCATCGCCTGTCCTTGCCCAGGGTGACTCTGGGACACCACGTGGTTTCTTCCACATTTGAGCTCAAACCTGCTGGCTCTTCTCTCCTCCGGAGGAATGGGAGCTCTCTCCAGGCCATTTAACCAAAGCAAAAAGTCTCTAGCCAGGAAGATTTGCTCAGGGAAAAGCAAAGGCATGCTTGGAAACTGGGGAATGGGTCACTCGGGGCTCCATTTGTGCAACGAGGCCAGCATCAACGGGAAAAAGGCCTGTGACAGTTTATTACTATGGCCTGGGGGGCTGGGGGGAGGATGCTGAGAGCAGGGCTCCAACAGGCTTGGGAGCATTGGGAATTGGAGGAGCAGCAGTCCCCAAAGCACCCCCCTCCAGGAAACAATACAGGAGCTTGGTCCGTTTGACCAGCCCCACCCTGCCCGAGGCCAAGCCCTGGCCTGGGGGGAGGGACCTTGAGTTTGGGGAGCCAGGATGGCCAGGGAGGGAGCGGCGTGGGCAAGGGGACACCTGGGCAGAGGGAAGAGCCCAGGCTTCAGGACCGGACCAGGCCCCCAGCCCTGTCACCTACTAGCCGCCTGACAGGGTGGCTGTAACTGTTCTCA